TGTTGGTTTATATATAAGAAGCATTAGGTCTAGCTTTCAAGTGGGATTCGAGTAAGGTACTTGTTTTGCACTTGCTGATGAAATGCTTTTTGCTGCTGCTACAGGCTGTCAACTGACTAGCTTACATGATATGATGAGGTTTATGATAGTTTTGATGCTATGGGYCTGGAAGAAAATMTTTTGAGAGGAATTTATGCATATGGTGAGTTTATATTATTCTTATCTTGCATATGGTTTTACTTCATATAAGCTGATTGTCTTGTTAGAAACATTCTTTATCAGATATGGCATTTTTCTTTTGAGTGCAGGCTTTGAAAAACCATCAGCAGTTCAGCAGAGAGGAATCGTCCCTTTCTGTAAGGGTCTTGACGTAATCCAGTAAGCTCAATCTGAAACAGGGAAGACTGCAATCTTTTGCTCTGGTATCCTTCAACAACTCGACTACAATGTGTATTTACATGTTTTCCATTAAAGGATGGCATATAAAAGATATCTAATCTTTCTAACTGTTGATGAACAGCGAGCTTCAGTCCATGTCATTTATAATTGTTTAACAAGGTATAAAGGAAAACGTTATTGTTCAATACTTCATATTGTTTCTATTTAGATGTCTAATTTTCACTTTTTGATCTTTTTATCTTTATTTTTTGGAGAATCAGTTTCAGATTGTGGGTATTTTTAGCTCAGGTTGGACTTATGGTTGCTAATATCTTTATTTAATGAAATTGGTATTACAATGATCTTCTGATTTGGGTTTGCTATTGTTTGAGTTTGTCATGGCAGGTTTCTATGGTATCACGGCTTAAACATGATAATGTTGTGGAGCTACTTGGATATTGTGTGGACAGTGGTTTGAGAGTACCTGCCTATGAGTACGCTGCAAATGGATCTCTTCATGGCAAGTGTTTTACCTCCTTAAAGTCTTTTTAGCAGTTCATTTTTGGGACCTATTTTTAAGTTGTATTGTATTAGATTTGTCAATGGAACCTTTGTCTTTGCATCAAGAAATTAGCTGTGAATGGAAACTTCAAAACTATAGAATAAAAACCTTTATGCATAGATGATAACTATTCCTAAGAAGCAATCCAATGGAACCTTTGTCTTTGCATCAAAAAGCATTCCTCACAACACTAGCTGTTACGGTTCATTCAATTTGTTTTCTCAACAATGGTGATTCCATTTTCTCTTAGTTTTGTTTGATTATCTTTCTTTCTTCAACTGTATTTTTTAAGTTTCATTTATTGTCGTCTATCTTATGCTACTCACATGATTGGGGTTTATTTGATTTTATACTGGTCT